AATGACACCCTAAGATTTTTATTCTCTTCTTCTAACGTCACTTGAGCTTCCCTGCCAAAACCCACCATCTGCAAGTTCCCTTTCAAGTCGTACACTGTGCTGATGTGGAATGATATCAACGTTCGTACTTGGACATTGAGTCAAAATCCTGGAACCTCCTTCCTAACAGCATGCCCCTGCACTATATGGGCTGCAGTGATTCCAGGGGGTAGCTCACTATCACCTTCTTCAGGGTAATTAAGAATGTGTAATAAATTCTGTCCTACCTAGTGACAGAACCTCAGACCATATTCAGACCAGGATCCATCATTGATTTGAAACAAAAATTACTCAAGCAAAGCAACTCATCAAAGTAACTCCACAGTTCTGACAAAGTGTCATGTCAATCTCAAAACGTCAACCCCATCTCTCTCTCTCTCTCTCTCTCTCTCTCTCTCTCTCCACATATGCCGCCAGACCAGCTGAATCTCTCCAGCACTTTCTGTTTTTGTTTTAGGTTTTTGTTATTCCTGTTAACTTTTCACTGACATTATCCATGAGTATATCTTGTGCATCTTTTGTGGTCCTATTCAAATCCTGATTTTGCTTTTGTTAATACTATTTGTTTTCATTTTCCTTGACAACTTAATTTCATTGCTCCATTTTACTTTGTCAGTTTTTCAGTTAAACTTATTTCCTAACCTCTACATATTTCTCTTCTGACGTGCTTTCCATGATTGCTTGTGTACTTTTCTTCAGCGTTCATTTTATCTTTACATCTTAGTTCGTTTTGGTGTTTTATTACTGAATCATATCATAGAATCCCCAGTGTGGAAGGAGGCCATTCGGCCCATCAAGTCCACACCCCCTACAAAGAGCATCCCATCCAGACCACAGCCCTACCCCATCTCTGTAACCCTGCACTTCCCATGGCTAATCCACTTAACCTGCACGTCTCTGGACTGTGGAAGGAAACTGGAGCACCCAGAGGAAACCTCAGCAGACACGGAGAGAATATGTAAACTCCACACGGACAATCGCCAGAGGATGGAATTGAACCTTAGTCCCTGGCACATCGCTCCAAGTATTTGCCATTGCTCTTTGATCTCTTTGTTTGTCGATCTTTTCTCCCAGTCTAACATCTCGAGTTCCATGCTCAATTCCTCAAGATGGTTATTTTTTCAGTCTACTTCTTTGACCCTTCTATGACAGATATCATTGTGAATATTTTACAGTAGACAGAAATCACATTGCACCGCAACTGGAAAATGAGCTGGGAGTTTCTATGGTATCTGGGCCATCATTAATCCGTCACTAAAAAATGATTGACCTGGCCTTGAATCTCAATGCTATTTCTGGGATGTAGCTGTGTGCGATTGGTTGGCACTGTCCCATTCATCACAACAGTGACTGCATTTCAAGAATACTTTAATTTTTGTAAAGCTCTTTAGGACAGCCCCAATGTCATGAAAGGAAACACATCAGTCATAGCTCCTGTGTTTTATTTGCTTAATTAAGTGCTAAATTTGCATTTCATGCTTTCAAGTGGAACCGGGGACTTCCTTTCAATACTATCATTGGCGCTTTGTATCCTGTTTGGTACAAGAATAGTAAACTATTTATTGTTGTTTGGCGATCAGAATCAGAAGTCTATCAGACCTCAAAACTTTGTAATCTAGTTTTCTTCCTTCAAAACTGGGCCTTTCCCTTCTGAAGAGAATAAAAAGCTATAAGGTACAGTCTCATCATTTGTTGCCTATTCCTAATTGCCCTTCAGTAGATGATGGTTAGCTGCCTTGTTGAACCACTGCGATCCATTTGGTGCAGGTATTTCTACAGTGTTGCTGTGAATGGAGATCCAGGATTTTGGTTCTGTAGTATTGAAGGAATGGTGAAATAGGGCCAAGTTATGATTACGTTTGTGGATTGGAGAGGAACCTGAAAGTGGTGATGCTCCCACGTGTCTGTTCCCCTTGTCTTTCCAGGTGGCTGGGCTCACATGTTTGGAAGGGGCTTTTGAAAGAACTTTAGTGGGTTGCTGCATTGCATCTTGAAGGTACACATGTTGTCACTGTTCATTGGCAATGAGAGAAGTAAATGTTTAAGTTGGTAGTTGGGTGGCAATTGAGTGAACTGCTTTGTCCTGGATAGTGTCATGCTCCTTGAATGTTGTTGGAGCTGCACCCATCCAGGCAAATAGGGATATTCCATCACACTCCTGACTTGTGCCTTATGGAAAGTAGATAGACTTTGAGGAGTCAGGAAGTGAGATACTCAAAGCAGGATTCCAGACTCTTGTAACTGCAGTGATCTATATGGGTGGTCCAGTTCAGTTTCGGGTTAATGGTAACCCCCAGGAATGTTAAACATAAGGGAGTCAACAATGGTGATGCCATTATTTTCGAGGAGTGATGGTTAGATTCTCTTGGTGTGAATGTTATTCAACACTTAATAGCCCAAGCCTGATCAACATTTCCTAAATCTGAAATGGAGCAACAAAATTCATCTATCCTGACTTAAAGAGAGAATTGGGAGTATCATTGTTGGGTATCATTATTGAAATTGGGAAAAAAATGATTAAATAATTTGCACAATTTGATACACGTATCCAACGACATGAAGTACGGAAAACAAGAAATACTGGACATCACAGTGGGTCAGGCAGCATCCATGGAGACTAAGCAAGCTAAGGTTTCACGTCTTCATCTAGATCAGAGCTCTGATGAAGAATCATCTAGACTCGAAATGTTAGCTTGGTCTCTCCACATGGATGCTGTCTGGCACACTGTGATCGCCAGCATTTGTTGTTTACAGTACAGATTCCAGCATCTACAGTAATTCGCTCCTGCATGTAGTTTTGGTAATTTGTTATAATTCACTGGCAAGAATACCAAAGGATCAAAACTGCTAAAGGCTGAGTGGACTCAGATAGCATGGGTTTGGAATATGGATCAATGTCCAGATTTCTGGTCTAAGAAATGTCCCTCACATACAGCTGGAGTCCACCAACCAAAACAGAAGAAGAAAGGAAATAAGTGCTGCAGCACGTCTTCCTTAAGTCTTACCTGCCATTCAACACGACCATAACTCATCTGCAACTTTAACTTCACTTGCCCATTCGTTCCCCACATCCCCTATTCACTTAGGCTCCAAAACTTTACTGATCTGTTATGGATATGTCATCTGGACATGCACACTTCTCCAGGATAGACAATTCCAAAGGTTCACAATTTCCTCAACTCAGTCCGAAATAGCTGACTATTATCCTGAAAGATTGTGTTTGAGTTCTTGATTCTTCAGCCTCTCAGCGTCTACTGTGTTAAACCCCCTCAGAATCGTACATGTTCCCACGACATCACCTCTCATTCTTTCAGCAGAGAAAATGTGATAACTCCTTCAGCAGTTCTTCACCTGACAATCTTCTCATTGCCAGCTGTCAATTCGCTGCAACGTGTGACCACACAGCCAGCTATGCTTTTGGACATTCCTGGAACTATCAATTCCTGTCAGCCAACCATTATGTTCTGGCTTTTTTTTTGTCCATTATTCAACAGAAGGGACTGAGGAGGTAAAGCTATTCTGTGTTTCAAGCTCATATATTTGCAGATTTTGTAAAATTTAAATGCCAATGGACATGTTTTGATGTTTCCAGACAATGCAGCTATGGCATTCATTCCCATAAGGAAAAGCAAGGGGTGGCTTCGGTTCAGACTCTGAGAGATGTTGCTTCAATATTCCAGCTTCCCTTCAGATATCAAAAATGGTCCTTCTGGACAAGTTGAAGGCAAACAGGTTGGTGGAACTTATGTGGAATGGTATGAGGTCATGGTAAAGCGACAGTCATGTGAGAAAAATCCAGACAATGTGAGTTTAAATCCTAGAACATGTGAATTAGGAGGTGATTCAGGCCCCTCAAACCTGTGCAGCCATTCAATACACCCAGTTGGCCTGATAGGAGGTAGGTGGGAATGTGGGCTATGAGCTTTCACCCTCTTCCTCATTAAGAAGCTATCCACCACTACCTTAAAAACATTCAAAGATTCTTCTTCTATCACCTTTCAGGAAGAAAATTCCAAAGATTCGCCACCGTCTGTGAAAAATAATTTCTCCTTATCTCTGTCCTAAATGAGGGAGCACTTATTTTTAAAAGTGACCTCTAGTTCCAGACTCTGCCATAATATTAAACATCCTCTCCATATCTATCCTTTCTTGACCCCTCAGGATCAATAAATGTCAGCCCCAAACTGGGGGTTATGCTTGTCCTTCTTGGCTGTTCAGGATCTGATCTTTCTCCTCCAAATTTAGAACCTCATTTGAAGCCCCAAAGAAATGTGCATTCTGCCCAACTCCAGAGGCCACAAGTGGTAACTGGAAGTGAAACTGTTCTTGGAAAAATATTTGGAAAAGAAAGATCAGGTGTAAGTGTGTATGAAATGTAACACACCAATGCAAACACAAATAAAATAAATGTAACAAGAAGGAACAATCGCTACAAAGTGGAACAAAAGTTTTGAGAAACTGACTCTAAAAGGTTTGCAAATGGAGAATTGCTTTATTTGTTCATGCAACATCGGCCTCTCCCAAATTGTGCAGTCAATTGAAAGGCCATAGTAAGCTCACGTTAAAAAGATTGATATTTTTGGTTGCAAAAGCTACAGCATGGCAAATCAGGAATGTGATATTCTGAGCATTGTTTATTGAATCTGCACAACAGGACCAAAGTCACTATCCCATTGCTGTCCATAGAAAAGACATTCATTTATAGAAGGCTCCAATGTCCACAGGAATGAGGGAAAAAAATAAAGTTATCTTTCAGCGTACCAAAATCTTTGGCTTCACCTCCAAGTGTTATCTAAAAATACAGATGTAGCCCTCATCTAAAGCAAAATACATTTTCTTGCATCACTCTTATGTGATTCCAACCTACTTATTCACAGTCAGATTTCCCTGGACTACTGTGAAAATAACAATACATAGATTTTGTTTTAAACCACAAAATGAAAATATGCAAAGTTACATACCCGCTCTTGGCCAGCTGTGTCCCAAATCAGAAACTTATGGAGCTCATTTCCACAGCTCACAGTCTTAGTCATGAATGAGGCACTGGAAATCAGTCCAGAGCAGGCAAGAAATTAGTCTCAAAACAATGGAGAGCTAAAACTCTCAGAACGGGAGAAACAACATAAATGTGTCTGTACTCACCCAATGGTGGGCAGAGTATTGAGATCGAAGGTGTCTTGAACGAATCGGCATACGATGCTCGACTTCCCCACACCAGTATCCTAAAACCGTTAAACATACAAAGAATTAGATCACAGAATTATTTGGTAAGTCAAAAGGATTTTTTAAAGTCTATTTTGCAAAGTGTGTTTCTAGCTGAGTCAATTAAATTATACAGGCCAAACTCCAAACCCAGTTTATACAAAATGAGAAAAAAAGAGGCTGGAAGAACACAGCAAGCCAGGCAGCATCTGAAGGAAAAGAGAAGTCAGTGTTTCGGGACTCTTCAGTCCTGAAGAAGGGTAATACCTGAAATGTTGACTCCTCCTTTTCTCCAGATGCTGCCTGCCTTGCTGTGTTCTTCCGGCCTCCTGTTTGTCTACCTTGGATTCTAGCATCTGCAGTTTTTTTGTCTCTATACTAAATGAGTTGTTCTCAGTCAGGTAGAAGTGATTATGAGATAATTAAACATTTTCTTGCTTTTGCCCCTCATTCTTTACTCCCCTCCCGTCCCCACTGCTGAAGCTAAATGTGACACATGAGGTGATGTGAGCTAACACAGTATGTCTTTTCCTGCTGACATGTGACTGTTCGCTATCTACAAGGCACAATTCAGGATCGTATTGAAATGCTCTTGCTTTGTCTGGATGGATGCAGCTCCAACACTCAAGAAGCTTGACACCATCAGCCTACTTAACCAGCAGTCCATCTACTCTCTTAACCACCAATGCACAGTGGCAGGAGCGTTGCCAAACCTCAGTGGGGTAACGTACTAGAAATCAAGCCCCACCATTCCTGGAGTCATCACAAAGTTAAAGAATTTGAAAAGTACACAGAGCTTCTCAAGTTACCATTCTTTCAGACCCAGGGTGACAGAAAGAACAGACCAGGCTCCCATAATTTACAAGAACTACTACCGCTATTACAAGTACATAAATCTTAACTACAGATAAATAATCATAAACTGTTAACATGTAACTGTGGGCTGTTATGAACTCCCCTCCTTGCACATACACAGACAGATAAAAAAAATGGGTATGATGGGTGGAGGGAAATACTGGGAATACAGTGCAATGCTCCCAGTTCACAGGATTCACTTTCACTTGTTTACAGAAAATACAGAATGACTGGTTCACAGTTATAAAAGGTCTTTGACTTAATCAATTAAAGTTCACAGCTTACAGCAACTAGAAAGGAGAAATAAACTGGCTCTCTTCAGGCTTGAGATACTTTTTAGTACAGAGCAAAAGCAGCTCCTTTTGTTTCTGATTGTTCTTCCTAAAATTTTCCCACCCCAAGCTGTTCTACAACCTGGGAGCCAATCACATATTTGTTGGTAGGCAGAAGGCCTTTGTCATCGATAATTGGTCACTAGTCCACAAACAAGACAGCTACTTGTTGTCAGTCAAAACTTCATTCATATACACCCCTTGGTTCCAGCTCACCTACAACTTGGCTTCCTCTACTGCTTGAACAAGCAGCTGTGTAAACAGCACTTTCAAAGTGTGTCAGGTTGCTTGTTTTTAAAGAGTACAGCAATTCTTCAGTAATCCTCATTTTCTTAAATCAGTTCTTTTCCCATTTCAACCCACAATCAAAAATACAAAGAAATAAATCTTTTCATTGTATACCATTTACAAGGTACACTGCAGCAACTCACCATGGTTCCTCCAACAGCACCTTCAAAATCTGGGACCTCTACCACATAGAAATGACAAGGACAGCAGATGTGTGGGAATATTACTACCCAAGATCACACACCACCCTGACTTGGAGTGAAGCATTTCAAGAAGGCAGGTCACTACCACCTTCTCCAGGTCAGTTAGAGATGATGATAAAGGCTAGCCTAGCTAGTGACACCCACATCCCATGAACAAATAAGAAAAAAAGATTGCTTCTCATTGAGAGTAGACAGATTGGGCCAAGTTGGATGTGACCCGTCCCTTTTGTGAACAGGCCATACCTGGGCAATTTTCCACATTTTCGGATAGCTGGAACCACTTGGCTAGGGGCATGGCATGTTCTGGAGCACAAGTCTTCAGTGCTATGACCAGAATGTTGAAAATGCCCATTGCCTTTGCAGTATCCTGTGCCTCCAACCATTTCTTGATATTACATGAAGTGAAACAAATTAGCTGAAGACTGTCATCTCTGATGCTGGGACTACTTGAGAAGGCCGAGATGGGCCATTCACTTGGCACTTCTGACCGAAGATTGTTGCAAATGCTTCAGCCTTATCTGTTGCACTGATGGGCTGGGCTCTTCCATCATTAAGGATGGGCATTTTTGTGGATCCTCCTCCTCCAGTGAGTTATTGAATTGTCCACCACCATTCACGACAGAATGTGGCAGGACTGCAGAGCTTAGATCTGATCCATCGTTATGGAATTTCTAAACTTGTCTATCACTTGCTGCTGACGTTGGTTGGCACACAGCTCAGCAGTTTTGTAGCTTCATCACATTTACACCTCATTTTCAGGAATCCCTAGTGCTGCTCCTGGTATGCCCTCTTTATTGAAGCACATATAAAGTATGAAGTTAAGACCTCAGTAATTCTACAAAGGCACAAAGATTTTTGTGAAATCAAAATGTAATGAACTGTAAATTGAACAGCCTCAATGATATAGTATTAATTATTAGAATATATTACATGTACTTTCCAAACATGGCAGCAACACAGGTCAGAGCTACAGTCAATAACTCCCTTCAGCAGTGCCCTCCACTCCTCTACAGACAACCATCGGATCCTAACGTAACAATCAAAGGTCAAGATACTGCAGAGGATGGCAGGGATGATTCTAACATTAGACAACAGGCATTGTTTCAGCTATCTGTTCATTTTACACCTGTCTTGATTGTCGGTTTTCTTCCTAATATCCTGGTCTCTTCTTCAATAATACTTGAGAATGAGCCATCTGCGGACTCTCCCAGCCGCAGGGCAAGTGATGCTCCACAGGATGGCTAGATGGGTTGTTTAGAGGTTTATGTGTTTCCTTTGACACCTCGACCCCACCTCTGCATGTTCCCAATCAATTTGTTCAACGTGATCAGTGCTATCCTGAATGTACCTTCTCTTTTTTTCATTAACAGGATGAGGGCGTCACTGGATAGGCAGCATTAATTGCCCATCCCTAATTGCCCAGAGGGCAGTTAACAGTCAACCACATTGCTGTGGGTCTGGAGTCACATGTAGGCCAGACCAGGTAAGGATGGAAGTTTCCTTTCCTTAAGGGCATTAGTGAACCAGATGCATCTTTCCAGGAATCGACAATGGATTCATGGTCATCACTAGACTCTTAATTTCAGATTTATTTTTTAACTTCAAATTCCACCATCTGCCTTGGCAGGATTTGAACCCGTGTCCCCAGAACATTAACCAGGTCTCTGGATTAACAGTCCAGCAATAATAACACCAGGCCATAACTTCTCCTGTCTATTCTGTTTCTTCACACGCTAAGTTCCCAGGTATGTTTGATTTTTTCAGGAATGCGCTGAGGACATCTGTAAAGTGTTTCTGCTGTCATCCTCAGCACCTCAGAGAGTTCTGAATGAAGCAATTGATTCAGGAGTCTGGAGTCATATGGGTGAACATCCTGCCCTGTAGAACAGGTTTTGAGTGATTAACAGGTCAAGGCAGGGTAGGTTGGCTTTGGAGAGGATGCTACTATTGAGTATGTCTTAGCTTCAAGATCACTGTTGCTTCTGAAACCATTCTCAAGTTTGAGATCCTGGCTTCAAATGCTCTTTCCCTCAGTCAGTCAAAGACTGAGCTGGCACATTGGAGGGATACATAGATAATGAAATTCACCATTGCTTCTATTGAGAGGAGATTCCCAGATGCAGAAAACTGTCCGCATTTTCCAGGCCATCATTGTTGATCCAAATCTTTGTCCTTGTCTAAGCCACTGTTGAACAAAGATGCTTCCAAAGGGACATTCTGATTTGAACCAAGAACAGCTGAGCGATACCATTCCATTTCAATTACAGTCTGTTCCTTAAGAGTAAGCACTTTGCTTTCTTTCAGCATGACCATGACTGAAATTGGAACAAGTGGTTTTGAAAAATGACATCCTGTGAATATAGTGTATAGCCTTGTGTTTCCTCACCATGACTCATTTGCTACAATACTTTGCAAAATGCATAAAGTGTCTTGCATCAGTCAATTCTTTTAAGGACAAAAGGAAATGTGTAGGTAGCAACAATTCTCTCTCAAAATAAAGCACTGGCACAGAAACCCATTACAATTGCAGAAAATGTACTGTCACTGACTGACTGTCATAGGCAGAAAACTGAGAATCCAGCTGAAAAAGTAATAAATGTAAGCGAATAGGAAATATCCTGAATTTGGCTCACTACCAACTCTGGCATTGCACCATCATTTCGAAATTTGTGGCTGCTTTCTGCACTGTTTGCATTTAGAAGAAATTTATACATTTTCCGGAACTTGCCAATGAGTGGATTATAAGAAACAGAATTACAGCCTTCATTTTCTACTAGTATTCATACAAAAGCACAGGTTTGAAAAGTGAAAGAAGTGCAGACTAAATACAGCAAATAAGCCTCTTAGACACACACACACACAAAATAAGGGAGCCAGACTGAAAGGGAGTCAGGCTATTGGTGGGATTTCAAAGCTGTCATCAATAGGATGGCTATAGTACATCATTTCCAAGTCAACTCTCAGCAACTCAACTCATTTCACTCATTTTCCTGATTTCTTTCAGGAATTCTTTTCTCTTCAGAAAGTTATCTCGTTCTCTCTTGAAGGCTTAGAATGAAACTGTCTCTACGATGCTCTCAGGCAGTGCATTCCAGATCATAACCACTCCCTATTTCCCTATGTCATCATGGCTTCTTCTGGCCATCACCTTAAATCCATGCCTTTTGGTTCTCAATCCTTCTGCCTGCCAATGGCAATAGTTTCCTGAACTACTCTGTCCAGACCCTGCATGGTTTTCCACATCTTGAACAAAGGTCCTCTTCATCGTCCCTCTCCAAGAAGAAAGGCCCCAGCTTCCCCAATCTACCCACACAGCTGAAGGTCCTCATCCCTGGACCCTTC